TTTACTCTTGGAATGTCAACCATTCTTGTCTGTAAATTTATTGAAACAGATCGTGGAAAACTCAACTTCATTTTCAACTCACCAACTTGACTCATAACTCATAATTTACGTTTGAACCAATTCGTATTTTATCACTGAAATCAGGAATCGAATTTTTCCGAGCCAAAACAAGAGAAGACCGCAATGCTTTTCCCAAGAAGTTGGCTTCAGACAGGTACCAGCCCCTTAGAAGAAAAGGACTTCACGGTCCAATTGAAATATTGCTCGCTGTGTGGGTCACATTCATAGGACAAAAATTTAAATCATGTTTTAATATGAGTTATTCAGATATTTTTTTCGTTTTTAGTTTTTACCCTCCTTATGCTGGTACCCCATGCTACTTTTGCGAAATATTTTTCATTTGTTAACTGCGTCCAATTTATTTCGTACATCTTTGCCCCTCTTGTCAAAGGAATTTCGTTCTTGTCGAGCTACCACCAGCAACGCCCGTCATGTCTTGGAGGTGTAACCTGCTTTTTCGACAATAGATTCACCACGACCATTTTATGAATGACGTAATATCGGTTAAAATGTCATATAACCTAGAAAGCCGCAGTATATGGTGGCTTGGGTACAGCTTCGTAGGTTCATGTTGTAAACAAAAGCAACGAACAAGCTTTTGCAATGATAATGCCTCAAACGTCATCTTCAATCGACGTTCGATCAGACAATGTGGTGGAATTGTTGATCACTTTTGAAGCTCTACCAGCCGACTACAGCTTCTGAAGCGTTAAGAGACCAGATGAACCGAATGAAAGTGATCAATTATTCAGCGTTGTAGGGACGTTTAAGGGCCAGGAGTTGAAAGACGCGAACCATCATTCGCCGACGACTTTGCATCTGCAAAGGTAAGGATGAAGGCATTCCGCCTGTAAAATAATTTTCAGTTGTTCTTTTGACGTTTTCAATCTTATGAAGAATTGTTTATTTCTATTTTAATTAGTTTTCTTAAATATTTTTGTCTTTCCATTTACTTTATTTGTAAATTCCTACCTAAATAGAGAGTGCGTGTTTTGATTTAAACGCAACTTGTTTCGTATTTGCAGTAATAAGGAATTTCCGCTAGTTCAGTTCACATTAACTTAGTCAAAATAACCATACGATGTCCCATAGTTATTCTAGGGGTAATCTGAATTAAGATCTATTGGTTGTATAAATATTCGACAATGTTTTCCGTTGATTTTATTAATTTCAGGTATAGCATAAATTAGTCTCCTTGTCCAATTTGAAAATAATATGATCACTTCACACTAGGACGCAAAAAAAAGAAAAAGACCCTTCAGTTTCTTTCCACAGATGAAGAATTTGAATAAATATATCTCGGTCACCTTCAAAATCAGAAACGCAGTTGATCGAAATAAATCTCTTATTGCACAGAAAGTCTGGATAATAACGTCACCAAAACAATAGCTTTTTCGCTTTTTAATGTTATGAACTGCCATTGAACCTCGGAAAATTTATTTCATATTTCATTTGTGTAATCTATTTTTCACAATAACGATCGAAAAAGTTTGTACATGAATCCTAATTTACGATGCACATATTTGATAATTTCTTACTCAGCTTTTTCATGACATGCTTTCATTTAAATCTTTGAATGTCTTCGGTTCTGTCACTACAAGTTTTATTAAATTCTGAATCATTTTTTCCGTGTTATGAACCGTTTTCAATAACTAAGGAATTAATTCTTTAAAACTATCTTCCTACAGGTGGACACCCTCAGCCTTCACATCCTTTTCCTTAGTTTTAAAAGCATGATAATAATAAGCATTTAATTGAAAAGTACTGTGCTGAATATTGGATATTGCCTAAAATAAGTTGGTTGTTAAAATCTGAGATTAATATGCCAATGCTCTCTCTTTTTCACACAACAGATGGGTTTACTTATGGTGCTGGGTTCCGTCCTCTTTATCACTTCTATCGCATCAGCGTCAACACTCGGTAAGATTTGCTCTATCTAATTTATTTCTAGGACATAACCCAGCTTCTCATAATCGAGCTCTCTGCGACTGACTTGGTGAGGGAATCGACCCCCCTTCCCCCTTGGAGTTCATAGATTCTTTGTCTCGTGTTCGTAAATATTTAACAAGACGCTTGAAACCTTCGATCATTTGAAATGTATCCTTCAAAGTTGACCACCACTACTAAATGTTTTCCGAGAAGAGCGTTTTGTCATCACGATCTCAAGAAAGGTGAAAAACAAGGAAAAGAAATGAATATACGATCTCGGAAAAGCTAGATTTTCAAGTGAAACCTTCTATGTTATGGTAGTTTCAGAAAATGAAAATGATCATCGGACTCTATCTTTATTTGCCCAACCGATATTCGTCAGCGATCTGTTGGTACCAACTTGGAAAATGTTCATCCTTAGAAATGGGGGTTTAACTTCAAAGATTTTGGCAATATATCCAAAAAAATGGTTTGCTGTTATTACCATCGCTTTTCTGCAGATTTATATAATACGAGTTAAGTTGGATCTCTAAAACTTCAAATTTATGTGGTGGACGTCCTGAGACCTCTTTGCGAGACCGGTTGTAATGTATGTAATGAAGTAAAAAAATCCTTGAATTATTTCTTTGTGGTTGGGGTCTCTCCTTTACAAACTAGCATCTCTTACTTTTGATCTATCACAGACCGCCTACGGCACTACAAAAGAAGTCCTAATCCGTGTCCACCAGGATGCCCTTCATCATGTGCTCCTGCTTGTCAAGTAACATGTTGTTCACCCGCCCCTCCACCACCACCACCACCGCCCCCACCGCCACCACCTCCGCCACCCCCACCACCTCCTGGCCCGCCAGGAATGGACGGACCCATGGGAATGCAGGGACCTCCAGGACCTGACGGACCAAAAGGACCGTCAGGACCCGTCGGTCTTCCTGGCCCAGTTGGTCTACCAGGGCTTCCCGGAGCTCCAGCAGGTAAGTTCAGTAATTTGCCAGAAATATCTGTTCCTAAGATCCTATCGTTTTCAGTAAGTCAGATTATGGTGGAACACCGTTTTCACATGGCAGTTCGGCGGACATAGTGGTTACCTTAACAGTAGAGTAGCAGCCATATTAGTGCCCATGTCTGTCCTGTGGAATTCGAACGCAAAGAAGAATGCAAAAAATATTTCTTTTGTTTCAAAAAATGTACATAGCTGCTCACCATGTGATTAAAATGTATTTCTGCTGTTTAAATAACACTTAAGGTCAATGTTCAACATTTCTGCAAGATAAGGTTGCACCAGGTTGCTGTCTGATCTTGCTGTCTGATTTTGCTGTCTGATCTTGCTGTCTGATCCCCGAAAAAGTCCATTATCTCTTTAGGAATTATTTAAACAATGTATGCCCATTCTGTAATTTTGACAAATTACCTTTATACTCTCAGGTCCACCCGGACGTGACGGACCCATGGGACCCCCAGGAGCTCCCGGAAACCAAGGTCCTCCCGGAGATGCTGGACCACCCGGTAAGCTGTAGATTTTTAGGCTGAAACAGCAATCGCCTTTTAAAAACCCATTGGAAAAGCATGCACAATATATTTCATTTCCCCACTACTCGTATCTCCTCCTTTACAAATGTAAGTTCAAAAGTTTGAAGGAGCTACTAGGTTTCAACAGCACAGTACTGACCCGTTATACAAAGTTATTTGAGACAGGGTGGTGATGAAGTGGCATCATTTGCTCGGGATGGGCAATTTTAACTTTGCAATTGGCCATTTTACAACCACTTACTCGTTTGCAATAATTTCATGAAAGTTAAGAAAGATACAACCTCTGTAATTTAACTGCTAACTGGTGTGGTTCCCTCTGCCATTACAGGACCTCCTGGACTTCCTGGTGCTGCAGGACAACCGGCTCCTCCCCCCATGCCAAGCCCTTGCCCAGCTGTGTGCACCCACACATGCATTCGATCCTGTCCGCCACCATGTTGCCGTCGCTAAGTACCTCTAGACAAGTTGCGTTTGAGCGATCCTGTTGCTTTTATTAGTTTATAGCGGTTTGAGAATGGAGTGTTCTTTTTTTTTCTCTAATAAAATGATTTATCAAAACAAATATGTTTGGTTTTTAAGCCCGAGCAGTACGAGGATGATGGTTGTAGAGAGACTTTAAGGAAGACTTAAGTAATCGAAATTTCAATCTCTAGTGAAAGACATGTTTGTACTAGAGAACTAATGGTTATTTGAGATGCATTTTCTTTTTTCTTCGATACATGTTACACTCGTATTTAGTTGTTGTGAATACGTCAACTCTCTGATGATAGAGACTGGGACTACCATTTTACTTAGGTTACCTAAAAAATATAAGTATGAGAGCGCAAACATTGGTATGGAAATCACACTTGTGCCAATGCCTCTGTTGTGTCTCGTACGAAGGTCGTTCATGTACGTTCAGTAACACGTATGCAGAACATATTCGCCATGTATACCTGGACAAGGAACCAATTAAACTATTATTTTAAGATTTAGAAGGAAATACTTTATGTTTTGTTATCTCACCGCTGATGATGTTTTCTGATCGTTAACCCTCTCTTCAAAAGAACAAGTTTCTATTTAACTGACGAGCACAAAATTCTAGTGTTAAAGAAACTTATATCTGTTTCGATTTTTTCAACACCCAGCTCGTAATTCTCATTTATGCGAAAATGTTTTTAACTAAAAGATCATTTTTGATGGATCATCGACAATTTGTTTCAAAAGTGGGAGATTCCTTTAGAGTGTTCTTGCTTGACACTATTCCTTTGTAAATGTGGATGGAACAATATCGAACGTGGGGTTATCAGGGACAGATCTTCTCAAACAATCTCCAACAATTTCCGAGGAGAGTGTTAAGAGATCGTTTCCAATAATGAACGTAATTTTCTACAAAAAATACTTTATTTGCTTCTTTAATCCTTAAGCTGATAGAGGCGAAGATTACAGGCACTGTGTATTTGCTAATAAATACACAATGGAAGGGCCATGTGCATCAACATACTGTGCCGCTATGTGGCCTTCAGCCTTGGGGTACAAATATTATTATCTAGCATCTGGAACCATGCTGTGACGTCCAAAGGATTACTACCAACTAATGGGTTTCCCTTCTCATCGGTCTTGACATAAGAAGGAGACTTGAAGCTCTTTAGAGTAAAAATCTCACAATCCTCTTTTGAGACACAGCTGTAAACGAATTCGTGGTCATGGCCAGTTTTGTTAAGGTGCTGTGAACAGAAAAGAAAACAAAAATGAATCTACGTACTGGTTTCACTCTTTAAGGTGTGAGAGCTATGTTTTCCCAACTGATCAGTTTGTTGGGTGTTACTGGGAATCCGGAATTTTATCAGAATATTTTTTTTCTAATTTGTTTACCTCATATCCTAGAATTACCCTACAAATGGTGGCAGAATTGACATACTTGTCTAATCTGAGAGTGTTATGGAAAAGTTTTAAAGTTTTTCAATGAGAATTTTTTTAATATGCATCATCTTTTGGCATCGAAGTCTTGAGACTACCCATCGTTTTTGCTTTTAGTTAGAAATTTTTTTTCTAACCTAAACTCCAGATGGAAGTTGACTCACAAGGTCATCAGTGCTTATTTATTGCAAGGAGCAGTTTGTACCAAGGCCACATATTTGTAGATGATATGCCGTGATAACGCAAGATACAAAACAGCTATGAGCCAGTCAACATTCGAGTAGGCCGCTGCAAAGGAGTGGAGTGACCTCCCAAAGAACTGCGTGCTTGTGAAACGCTAAGAATTTTTAAAATTAAAACTTTTAAACTTTTAATAGAATCAGATAAGGCACAACAAAAATGTAGTTTATAAGTTTTTTGTCACGGTAAATATTTTTTGTAAATTTTTAATTTAATCTTAACTTGTATCGATGGCGAATTGTATTTTTAATAGTATTTTTATGCACTGATCACCGGTTTATACTAGCGTTTTCTATGATGAATTCGCTGAACGGTTTTTTCAGTTTTAGTAAAGCATTTGTTATTATTATAACCAAAATGGCCTTTATGACATCTGCATGCGTGCTACAAAGTAAACTTTTTACCTCAATTACCAACGCCTGATTTCTTACTGCCAACACATAATCAGTGTTTGCATTCAAACGTAAGGTGATGACTAGAGTTCCATTTCTGTTCGCGAGTATCAGCTGAAATTCTGTAAGGAACAATGAGATCATGAAAAACTGAGACAATGTCAAGTCTAAGCGAGATGTGAGTGGGAAATTTCCACCGCTCAAAGTAATAAAGTTACTTCAGTATTTACAAGGTCATTTGTTGGATGACAAAAGCAACCATCATCATCCGGTTTTAGATAAGATGGTTTTGAATGATCAAGATTTGGAAGATCATTTTCAAAACAAGCTTCTTTCAGGTTTTTTTTTTAGATAAAATCTCTTTCAGAAGATATTCTGAACCTTGTTTTCTCTGGTGTTTAAAAGTTCGGCTTCGTGGCCGTGTTCCAATTGTCTGGATACATGGACTTCTTTTATGCGTAAGTTTACGTCAAAATTATTGGCTACTGAATTACAGTAAGAACAGAATGTTTGTTCGCACAGATTTACTTTCCAAGTGTTATGTTTGCGCGCTATTGTTTACCACATGTAACGTGTGACGGTACTAGTTTCAAATATTATATTCGATTCAACTTGTAACGTGTAGAAACAAAGTCAACGGTTCAACGCATGATATGAAATTGATGATGGCATGAGTCATGTCGAAACATGTATTTAAAAAGTTTCTTCGTGAATCTGAAGTTTACTAAAACAGGGTAATATGTATGCATCATTCAACGAATTCAAAATTTAAGAATCTTCTCTCATCAACGTGTCTGATGATTTTTCTTAGTGCACTGACCGATTTCGGCTGGAGAATCACTACAGGAGCCAGTAAAAGACACTTGACTAGGCCGGTTTGAGTTAGAGCCAAATGGGAAACCAACTCTTAGAAGATTTCCGGTCCCTTTAAGTCCACTGCCATTCTTTGCCCGGTAATAAGATTGAATAAGGCATTTCTTCGTCCTCGGGTTTCCATTTACAGCTATGAAGAAGAGCACGAAATAAACCTGTAAGAGGAAAAGATCACGAGTTTAAGGGCTCGGGGACAACAATGACTCGCTCAGATAAATGGAAAATGAAAAAGTAAAAACAAACAAAAATCCAACGCAGCTGATTGAAAATAACCGACGAAGGATAGCTTTGTCTTGGATTATTACTGATGATCTAACAAAAGTGACACATACTAAGATACAGCTCTTTTGCTTAGCTTGGTAAAACTTGGAATTTATGCGCGCCATTAAGAGAGTGGCAAAATAGTGCTCTTTCTGCATAGCTATGGAACAAAGTCAGCTTTGCTTCCTTAGTAGGTTAAACAGGAACTTTTAGCAAAGCGAGGGATATGCAAAGACAGATATATAAATTAATAACGCTTCCTTAGTTAGAATAAACGAAAACCCTGATTCACATATCTCCAGGGAGCATCTCTTTAAAAATCTAGAATGGCAAATTTATCGAGTCTCTGACACAAGAGAAACCGACTTTCACATTTCTTGAAACTGTTTTATTTTACGCACTGTATCATTTTCGTCATTATATTTTTAGTTCTTAGCTGTCAACGACTTGTTCACGCAACATACAGACCTTTCAATCCTTCCTAGAGGGTTTTCTTTTATACTAAAAGAAGGTTTTCAGATCTCAAAGCAAACGAGTAGAAACATCCAAAATGGTGTTAATTGAGGTACCAGTCGATTACGGATTTATAATTAAATGGAACTTTGAAATCTTAGGTTCTGTTTTTGGAATGAAAGATGACTTTCAAAGTATGTTTATCAACGATAACCAACCTTCGTAAACAGTAGAAACGTAAGTTTATTTTTATCCCTCTGAGCCGAATTTTTGCAATATCCGTAGAATTTCTCGGGCGCTGATTGGTCGAGAGCTATCGTCACATTTTGTCCATGAGCATATCACGCTTTATAAGCGCACGCTGAGTTTGTACTTTGATCGAAGAATGATCATGAAGTTATCTTTTGTATCATTTTACTCGCTACAACTTCTCTGTTAATATCTCTATTGATAATTCTTGGACTGATACAATGGTAAATAGGCTTCTCTCCAAGCGATGATGCCAATTTGAAAAGGGGTTTGAATCGACGAAATGCAAAAACAGTGCAAGTGAACTGTTAACGAACCGCTAGCTTTAAGAGGGTCCAAAAGCTTATCACAAGTCAGGTTTTGCAAATCATATTTCGTTACAAATTTGGTCCACGACGCAACATAACGCCATACTAATTTGCTCTTTGATTGATCGCTTTGTAAAAGAAGGCCAACTCTCTTTTCGATGGAAAGGATCTACATTCAGTTGCACGACTACTTTGTTTCCATCAAGATACCGTTGTTTAAATCCACTGTGTCCTTTGGACATAGTTGTTTCCAATTGATAACAGCCAAACTTATTCCCTGTTCAGTTATTGTTTAAAATGTATGAGGCTATTAGATTTTGCAATTTAAAAAGGTCCTTGCTCCGTTTCTGGTTCCGCTTAAGATTGGAAATGGCAGCGCATTTTCTTGTGCCTGCAGTAAAATAGTGTGCACTTTGTGTGCTTGTGTTTGGTTTAAGTGTGTTATACAGCCCTTCAGTACAAGAGTATGCTCATTTTAACCACTAGAGAAATTTGTAGATATGTGCGAATAATTTCAAGGGCAATTGGTGATTTCAAGTGCATGCTTGATGCTGTCGTCAACTGTAAATAATAGTTGAACATATTTCTGTCAATATCCATTTAGGTGTGCATTCCAACCCAGAGTTGGCTGTCCGCGGTTCAGCTCAAGGAGAATTCCCATGAGGAAAATTTTCTCTTATGCCTCACAATTTCAGTTCGATTGTTAGCTGTCACTCTCAATTTTCTCGACTATTTCGTTATCTTCATCAAGTCCCTTTTTGGTGATCTATTATATTTTGGCCTCTATGCCATTATGTTCCTTCTAATGCTGCACGAAAATTAAGGAATACAGCAATCAGCATGACTGGTTTGCTGGAATCATGTTGTTCCTTGTCTTAACGTTTTGGTCTCATTTGCTCGACATGTCTGATAAATGGAGGTGCGGTATAAACAAGGACGATACTTATCCGAATTGAGACTGAATCCTTACATGGCCCGGCGTCATAATATATCTCGCTCATTATCCTCTCAGGTGGAGAGCATTAATCTTGTTCATATCTTAGATCCCTAAATTGGTTCCCCACTAAGAGACCCTCTCTGAATGGGAGATACCTACTTCGTCCAAAATTTTATCACCAGCACAATTATATTTCTTTCACTTTTTTTTATAGTCTAGCACGACATGGGAGGGAATGAAACCGAAAGCTGGCTGCCCCAACGAACGCTAAAATTATAGCTACTGTTAAACGATTCTTAAAATCTGCATGGGTGTGGTTTATATTTCTATGAATATAGCTCAGCGGTATAGTAGAGGTTGAGATTCCGTGACACATACAAGTGCTACTCTTATACCTTGAGAAATTTTCAAAGGGACAGTGAGTATCAGTTAGATTGATACTGAAACAAATAAATACTGGTGAAGTTGCCCTATCCATGCCTTTAAACGAGTTTCACCGGCTGATTCTGATTGTTCCTGCGATTGTGACCTAACTCTACTTGAACATTAAGACATCATTTCAGCTCTTTCGTCGGATGGCATGTTCCTTAGTTTCCCAAACAGGCGCACATTTTCAGATTGATCGTTCCAAAACATTAGCTTGTGGTTGTGCTATTTCTGGCTAATCCGATGACTTGTTACATGTTTGCCATCATTTCGCAGTCAATTAAACAGCATGCAGAATAAGTTTTTCCAGCTTTCCCTCCAACGATAGCTGAAAGACCTACCTTTCGTATAACTCTGGGTTTTTCTACCCACGAGAGCTGCTTCATCGCAACAAAGGAGGAAACTCAGCAATGTGAGTACTTTTGTTTACCTTTCTTCGAGCTTAAATCGAATGATTGGGAGTTTTCCAACTCCCACGAAAACAAATAACTGATAAATTAGAGATGTATATCTGGAAGAGATGTCCTTTGGACCGACTGTCGCCCTTGTACCCTCTAAGGAAGAAGCAAGTTTGATAGTGATTTGAGCCGTTAACTTTAACCTTTTTGCTTTTTATTTAATGAAATAATTAATGTTAAATGCTCATTACGATTGTGTTTACTCAGAATCTAAGCTTGTTAATCTGTTAAGCTAATGTGGTTAAGATGCTTTGAAGTATTAATCGGATAAACTAAGAAAGACGTTTTCGAATTCTTACCTCTCCTCGTCAGTGTTGAGTGGCAGCTTCCTGTTTTTTTACACAAGAATCACAGGATGACACTTGTGTGCTACGCAGCTTCCCTTCCGTTGGTGAAACGAAGGCTATAACTTTCCTCTAAAAGTAAAAGAAATTACTGTTGTCAGGAACTGTGCATGGATCTCCATGGTTTCCAGTTACCACCGGTTAATGCAAGACAGACTGGACGACGCCTGTTGTCCAAAGATCACAAGAAGCTGCCATTTTATGGTTGAAACGCTTTTGAGAATGCAAGGATAGGAAAATCACCGGCTTATCACAGGATAAGAAGACAAAGAGAAAAAAAAGGTACATTGGGCAGGCAGGCTTTACACGTGATAGTTAAAGCACTTTTAACCTTGCATCGCTTAAAATCTTTCAAGATAAGGAAACACCTCCCTTTTCATCGATTGCCACGCGCGCCCTGTCATAACCGTCTCTGCACGCGATGTCTTTAAAAATAACTTAGATATTGTCTGCTACCTGTGCATCAAATATCCATTTCCATTTGTGAATGGGTCATTGCAAGGAAAGAAGAGAATAACACATTTTCGTAGAAAAAAACTTCTATTTGGAATATACGTTGCATTGCATGCAGGCAGTTGACACTTTGTTTGGCAGAGCATAGCGAATTATATCATTTCCGTTGCACGTGCACATGAGTGATGGCAACTTGATTTTAGTATTGATCTCAATTGGATATGACAAGGGTCAGATACATTATGCCATCGTAATTTTCGGCATAATGCTATAATTAGAGCATCAAGCGTAATGCCGGCGTAATTCTGAGCCTGTTTTTATTTCTTGCACTTTAGGAATTTGATCCAGTAGTATGTTTCATTTTGAACCTTGGTAAGCCTAAAATTATTAGCAAGTTATACCTGTTTCAAAGTGGCGCTTTTGAGCAAAGATTTTAATTATATTTCCGACAATATCTCCAAATTTCACCAAAATTGGCCAAATATCAGCTGAGAATAAACTCTTCAAAGATCAGAACTGAAGCCAAAACACTTTACAAGAAAAAAGACTCGATATTTTTAGTGGGTCGGTGTTTGTTTCTGTAATCCAATCACATTAAAGCATGCCATTTGAAACCGTTTAGCCTGTCGGCGCTGACACGTGCTAGAGAGCAAAGAGCAGACACAATTTGTTAGGAGTTAAGTCGAGAAGGTTAAGTGTAACACGCTTGAATATGTACCTATTGGTGTCGGTATGGAAGATATATTTATAAATTTATTTTATTTTTAGGTATACTGCGTCAATCAGCAAAAGGAGGAGGAAGAGGCCAGGCAGGGAAGGGCGAGCTACACAGAAAGACAATAGAAACACAACACAGTTTTTCAACGACGTATGAAAATGAAATTCCTTTTTGTTCCATCAATCATCTCCCTGGTCACATTTTTATTCTCTTATGAGTGCGAGCGTGTCCGTGTGCTGATCAAGTGTTCTTTGTCGGCTGTTGAGTTTAGGGTTCTGTACAAACCAGTCTTTCATATCATTCTGAAATAGATTTCAGCCGTACGTCAGGTCACAACTTTTAGAATATTTGGAAAGTGCTTCACTTTCCGTTTTTCTTTGTCAGCAATTTGTTTTGTCACTGAAGCCGGGAGCGGCTGTAGCACGTGGGGAAGAACATGAGACCAAAAAAAATTCCAAAATAATCCGGAAGTCTCTTAAAAAAACAGCGCTTAATTTCACAATTTGTGATCAAACTTACTGCGGTAGATAATCACGACGCTTAAAACTTTCAAACCGCAGAGATTAGTGGATATATTAGATAATACACGATAAATATATTAGATATTGTACGATAACTTGGATATGATAAATTTCTGAGAAAGACTTCTTTAGTATAACAACTTGATCAAGACAATCTCTAAAGAAGAACTTAGCAAAGAAAATATTTAGGTCTCCAAATGAATCAATGACATATGCACCAAGCCACCACCTTGCTATGAGCGGTCTAACATGTTCTAACCGGCTTGCAGTTGAGTGTTCTTGTTACATGATATATATCTCAAGTACATAATAAGGAGACCTTATTTTTAATGAGTTGATCACCACGTGCATCTGTATTGCAGGGCATTGCACCACTGAACGGTACGGGGAGAATTTGCCACGATTGCAAAAAGAGATGCTCTATTGGTCAAACATTTTGTACATGGAGAAACCCTAAAAGGTTCGGTTGTTGTCCTTTACAAAATACTGTTTGTTGCAAGGACTTTGTACATTGCTGTCCGGCAGGACTTGTTTGTGTTTATTTTGCCCAGAAGTTTATGTGAAAGTAAATTGTGTAACATTTAAGAGTTCAATTTCTCTGATGTTGGAAATATTAAAAAGACGGGAAAAGTAGATTGTGTGAACACGTTACTCTGCCGTCAGAAAACAGACTTTCGAATAGAGTCACTAACTATATTTGCGATACAGGAAGTGTCAGTCCGAGTAAACATTCACCGTGCAGCGCAAACATCGATCGCTAAGCTGTAACGATATGTCGATCGCTAAGTTGTAACGATGTGTCGTGTAACTGAGATGGGTTAGGGAGGTGTAAAAGATAGATCAGGGAGACGAAAACGATATATTCTTGAGCTGCAGCGATTTATCGCTAAGCTCAAACGACATATTGCTAGGAGCTCAACGATACATCGGCGATATATCGCGGCTTTTAAAACAATAGCCCTACAATGTATTGCGGATATATCGTTGCAACTAAAATATCGCTTAAATATCGCCGATATATCGCGATATTCGGCGATATTGTTTGCATTACTTCTGCACAGTACTGTAAGTATGATGTGAATACAAGTAGAACTACTTCTTACAGCATGAAAATCTTGATGTATATTTTGACTAAATACTCAGCTCAGGGAAAAAATCTTGATGTATATTTTGACTAAATACTTGCTCAGGGAAAAAAAATAGATGCACATATCACGTTAGAGATGGCTGATAAGTTGGACCGTATCTGTTGAAAAATTTGATTTCCCATTCATATGAAAGCCCCTGGCATCGAACTGAATTTGCTTCAATAGTCTTTCCTCCCAGTCAACTCTTTCCATGTTGCTCGAGTAATCCAAGAACGTCCTCCTCCTCAATGTCTTGGGAAGGTTTTTCGTATCAACACCATCGAGTCGAATTAGCAGGAGAGATGAATCAGCCATTTCAGCAGAACGGTGCATCGCAATTTCCAATTCTTCACGGCAGAAGTTGCTGTCAAGATAATTTCGTGAAATGACCGCTAGTACCTTTCTGCTATTATAGATACTGTCTGCAATGTTCTCGATTATAGCCTTTCCAACAATGAAGTCCCGACTGTGAATACAGTAATTGATTCGCTTGCTCTCCAAAACAGGTGTAAGGTTGTCTCTCACCCAATTGTAGTCCAGGGTACTGAAGCTGATAAATACGTCGTACTGAAAGTCCTTCGATTTAGTGTTATCTGAAGAGGGAACGCATAACAAGATGATAAGTATTTGTTACGGTCCTCTGGGTTTAACATGATAATGAAGTCACGCAGGTTGTTGGGAGAACACGAGAAAAACCTTGTAAATCAGTAGTTGTGAGATGGGTGATTTATTAACCATTCAAGTGTTCTTCTAACATCCCACTTTATAAATCTCAGGCAAGAAACACGCAATTTTTTAGGAATTATAATCGTTTGTCTCACAATATAGTCACTTCCAATGTGAATCGCGAAGTTTTGACTGCATACTGCGAGGCTTCTTTAGGTATTATTAAGGTAACCTTAGGAGCCTTTTTTTGCTCAGCTGTGATTGCTTAATATTCTACATCTGTGACTGGCGTATCTGATTGATTGTGCTTCTTGATAGTCAGCATCCGTGCTTCTGGGATTCCTATTTTACCGACCTAGTTGACGATTTTAGGGTAACAACTTATGTGGATCATTAGCTTTGGAGTTCTAGCCAATCAGAGCTGAACAGAACTTTCTGAAGGGTGACGTGTGCCCAGTCGGCGTTAATCCCGAAAAATACTTGCAGAATGAAGTCGAAACGTCGCCATCCACATTCGAATATTTTCTTTGTTTTCATCATCTTTGCGTAAATAAGAGCTTTCAGTAAGACGTTTTCCACATTAAGAGAAGCAGCAAAACATACGTAAGTCAACGAATTCTATATTACTTGCTTAAATCGTGTGTAGTAAACGGAAATGTCAAGAACTTATGAAGCTGTGTAGCTTATTCTTGCTTTGTTGTTTTCGATTCCTTGTAAACACTGAAAGACTTCCAACAAAATAAAAGAATTAAATGATCTTTTAATTCATTAACTGCTACCAGTTCCTTGAAGCAATGGAAAAGAGAACTTTACCGTTTCTGTAACGGCTATTTCCTCTTTTACTGCGCGGCAAAGTTCGAAATCTACGGCTCGACCTTCAGTTGCAATTTTATCAATCGTTTCGGTGAGATGTAATTTTTTTTTCTTGGCGGAAATTTGAGAGTGAAACTTTTTATCTTCCCTTCGCTTTAACTGCAGGAAAGCTTACTTACGACAAGATTTATTTTTTCTTACTTTTGTCATCATAACAGAACTTAATAGCCTGATAAAACACGTCTTAATAGCCTGATAAAACACGTCTTGGAAAGCTGAGCGACCAATCAGATAATGCGCTCCATGTGCAGTTATGTTATTATTCATATCCTCTCCCATATTTTGGCTTTTTGGTCAAACTTGGGATGTTTTGGTTTGTGTACTGACGACATCAACGCATAAACAGTCTCAAACGAAATTCAAGTATGATAAAAGTATACCAACGGTGCAAGGAAAGAGGTAAACTCAACACTTGCGTTTCCGATGTTTTCTGTTCCTCTTCCATTGTCGATAAACGATACCAGCCGTCAGCAGACCGAAAAATGTTCCGACGCCTACCAGCAGGAACTCTGTCAAAGAAGTTTTGCTTTGCCCATCCCGAGAATCTTTGACTTCATCTTGAAAAGGAATAAAACAGGCGAATGGTCAGCACATTCTAAAGAAACATTATGAGGTGGAACTACGGGCGATGATTCAAAGCTTCGGAGATTACCTTTCATAGGTCACCCCCCTTCCTCCATCCCCCTTCCCCCACCCCAAACATTTTTTTAGGTTTCTCTTACAGTTTGTAAGTAGCCTTTCATACTCCTGTGCGCAGCGAGGCACTTTGAGTGTATGTTGTCTTGCAAATGCTATCTTGCACAATACTGTCTTACAGAATGCTTTCTCGCAGTTGTCTTACACAATGCTGACTTGCACAAGAACTCTCCCCAACCACCGACCACTTCTTGAATGGGGACGTCTCGACCCGGATAAACGATTAGGCCATCGCCTCTTTCAAGGGCTTAAAAATCCACTACTTTAACGTTACATGTTGCTCATACTCACTGAATTCAACAAGATTCAAGTGAATTGTACCAGAGTCGCTTCCTTTTAGAGTTAAGACCTTACAGTGATATGCCCCAGTATCCTGCTCCGTGACGCTCTTTATCAGTAATGAGAAATTAACTTTTGGAATGGAATGCTCCTCAAAAAAGACGTAGTTTGACTCATGATGCAGCCCATTGTTACCGTCCAGGGGTAATGTCTTTCCTTTGAACGCCCAGGAGACAACTGTGGTTGAATTTGGGGTATTCTCCCCCTCACACTTCAATAAAGCATTATCGCTTTTCTTAATGGTTACTTGGTCGATAGATGCGTAAGGATGGACTTTTGGTTGAGACTGGGACTTTTCTGAGCAGAAGAGCAAAAGAGAGTCATTACAACTGATCTAAACCGTTCAAAAATTCTTAAATGGATTACTTTATAAAGAGACCGTGGGTTTGCGTCGGTGAAGGGTTTCTACAAGATAATTTGCTTTCATTAACTGAGTTGATAACGTAAGTTGACCACCCTAGAAAATTTCTAAGCTAAAGTATCAATCGTTAGTCCTGCGTGGCAGAGAAAAATGACGAAGGATCAACGTCCGACACGTCAGCTTAGAAAATATTTACCTTGGCCAATTACCATCATTAAATCTAAATTATCTCAGAAAGTTTTAGTTTGGATGATATACCTGCAACCATATGACCACGATCAGATCTGCATTATAAGGCTAGTTTGACTTGAATTGATAAGCACATAAAAGAGGGCTATTTTCAATTGGGTAAAAAGGGTCTCGTTTTAGTGTTTGCAGTCTGTGAAGATAGAACTCTCAAGGGAAAAGGAAGATCGTAACCAGGCTATTTTAAGTGGAGGAACAAAGGCAAGTCATGGGAGTTGCGGCGGCTACATGATAAAGTTTCAAATAATTCCATAATAAAGTATGAAGAAACTATCGTCAGAAGACACCTACAGAAAACATGGAATACATGCATAGAACTGCACTGGAAGGTGTTTCGATCAAAGACTTTAAATTCGGAATTGTCACTTTTTGACTGATAAAGCAAGACAGATGAACCTGAATTTCTTACTGTTAACAAAAAGCTTGATTTGATAACGTTTCTCGCCAAATTTATTCTTTGCTACACATGTGTATCGACCTTCATCTTCCTTCTGTCTAACGTAAAAAATCTCCAAGTCCAGACCACTGAGAAGCAAGCCATTTCTTTTCGTTAACCCGTAAGAATGATTACCGTCACCATCCTTTACTACCACTTCATCCTTAAGCCAGGTGAAGGATGGTTTTGGCCAACCGCTGGCGTAGCAATAGAATACAGGATTGTGACCTTCTAAAAGAATTTGTGGGGTTGTGGTGAAGAATCCTCTTGCTTTTGAGAAATGTGGATGGGCTGGTTGTAAAATAGAAAATAAAGTGTTGGAAACAATGGATGAAATGACTTTCGCAGAACACTGCTTGAATGAAATTTATAGCCAAATTTCCATGCATTAAATAGAAAAAGAGAACTGAAACCATTAGCGGAAAAGAAGATATAAACTCACTTTTAACATGGAGAACTACTGAACAAACGTCAGTTCCATTGTCCTTTGACACCTCGCATCTATATCTCCCATAATCCTTTGCACTGATATTGCTTATTTGCACGCTCGACCAGAGCCCTGGTACTGATTCGGATGGTAAAGTGGAAAGCCCCTGAAGTTTCCTTCCATTGTCTTCCTTGCTCCATGTAATCTGCCTCATTGGTCTCCCACGGAGGACAGAGCAATTGAAAAACACTGTCTCCTGGAGATTCGCTATAACCTGTCTCTCCTTGTGTATATTGCAAAAGATTTCGACTTGCTGTAAAGCTAACAGAAAAAAGAAAAAGAACATGATGAGAAACTTCAAGTTCAAGGGCAATAATATCCTATACTTTCAACAGTAGAACAATTTTTCATAACAATTTTTTTTTGCTTCCGCCAGACCACATTTTGGCCATTACTTGTTTTATTACTTCAAAACAAATCTTATGGAGTTTTTTCACAGTACAGCAAATTTCACCACAGCACTTAAAACCTGTAACTTCATAACAGCAACACATGAAGAAAAATATCTCTTGCAAACCTCATTTTCACTTGTAGGTTGTGGCGAAATATATCATTTTTGAGTAAACATCTTTTATAAAAAAAAAACTCCATTTCAGCGCCAATCATTTCGCCGCATTTGGGTGTGTATCTTGCACCAATGAAATTTCTGCATTAGTTTATGTATTTCGCACTAATCAGATCACAGCATTGGAGGATGCTTGCACCAATGAGAGCGTTATACCAATCATGAAGTTAGGGTACCGCAATATATTGCGTTGGAATCAACCCAACATTGGCACAAGCCAGGAATGACATAAACAAAGAATTGTGAGCTCAATGTAGCCCAATGTGATGATTCATGTCCATCCTAAGGACTTCGTCGCTGTGATCTGTTGGAGCTAAAAAAGGTCATCAGGGAATTTTCTATCATGTACAAGGAAGCGTGTTTTGTGTACCTAACTCGAAATTTTCACTAGTTTGTTTCTTTTGGAAGGACTGGTTTTGCTGGCTCAAGTAAAAATTGCGCAAAGCATTTGCATAAAGTATATTTGATCGAAAATATTGTTTTAGCCTTGTGATTGCTCTTTTGGCGAAAATTGAAAAAAATTAGCAGGTTATATTTGCTTTGTGCGTCGACTGCGACGTGAAATATCCATTTCTTTGCTTTTGAAAGTTGTCCATGAATTTCTTCTTGTGTTTAAATGGAATTTTCCCGATACAAGTACGTATTTACTTGTCACTAAGGTCTGGACTTTCTCATATGAAATGCCATTTTCCAGTAAACAACCTAAACTTTATAACATAACCCCACCTCATTGGAAAAATTTTACTTGGAACTGAATGCTACTGTTATTAGAAATGAGAAATGCTCGCGTGCCTAAACGTTTTCCACCAATCAAATTCGCTTTTAGCAACCTTGGCCTTTATTACATCACTGCATTTCATTACGTATTGCACGCGCGGGGCAAATTCCAGATGGGTAACAACCGAATAGGGAGCCTACGTTTTTATGCCCATGTAAAAGCATTTGAAATAGATTACTTTTCTTCCGTTTAGTACATTCGTCGAGACCGCAAAATGTCTTTGGTAAGAGGCCATTTGAGATAAAAGAGAGTTTCAGTTTACTTCCCACTGCATCATCATGTGGATATTTATTTTTTAGGCAACCAGCTGTAAGTGAATAATTTTGATTTTGTCTCTGACGAAATACTGGCAGTAAGCGGGGGGAGTGCCCGTTGCGTGACGAGACCAAACACGGCTGTGAAGGAGACTTCAGGAAGCTAACTATTATTCAGACACTAGTGGCAATAGACCATAAAATATTTGTGTCTGAGTTTATTTCAGATAAAATAGAAGGCTTTTTTTGCTCTCCAGTGAACGATATTGTCATTGGAATCTTTTGAAAGTAAATGCTCTTTTCCTCCTACAAAAATGCAAACATTAGTTCCTCAGAGCCCCATTTCAACCCACCTCTCCAAAAAAAATAATTCGTGCATGCGTAACATGCCTACGTTTAAATTAGATACTACTCATCTCCTTTTCTTAAATCTGATCTCGGTATTACACAAACCGACAAAGCTGTTTTCATATCTTTCTTTTCAGATGTCTTTTGGCTTAAACTATATTTATCAGTCTTATTTAGTTTTTATTTCGGAGAAATATCTCAAATTTGTCTGGATACACTTCGTTCGAGAATCTACCTAGTGGCTGTCAAGGTCAACTTGTGAGCATTTGCAATGTTCAGTACCTTTTTTTAAAGGAAATCAAGCTAGGTCAGTCAAAATACCTAAGATCTCCTTGCAGTCTGTTTCAAGTCACCAATTAAATCTGAAAACAGTTTTTTAAAAACAAGCTATGAAGTCCATCATTGATTTTTCATATTCATGAGCACGGAAACAAAACACTATTGAGCAGATGTTTTTCAACTTCAGACGTCTTCATTTTAGTTCAACGATCAGTGTCGTATCACAACCCACGATTGTGTTAAGTTACAACTTTTGGACTGTGAAATACACCGCCATTCATAAAAGGCCAACAATATTTCTAGATGCATCATACAATCCATCAGTTATACTTTCTTATCAGCGAAAAAAAAAACGAAAACAACATTTAAATCAGGATAAATGTTTTCATTTCATTTTTTTTTACCAATTCAAGCTGCATTAGCCAGACATTTCCAGTTCTGCTCTGTTATCTACGCTATACACACTCCATCTTTCCAAACAAAATACAACGTAGAATAATCACTTACACTCGCATTAGAATTATTTCTTTTGCATTAGACCTACAAATCTCAAAATTTGCATAGCTCTAAGATCTAAGTCAATCACTGAAATTTAATGTATCCGGCTATAATCTTGATTAAACTTTCTCCCTAAAATTTGTTTCCTTGGAAAATTTATACGGGCCAAAAAAAAATTTGTTTGCGACCAGGAAAAGCCGTTACTTTTCTTATTATACATTAGTAATGAGTTTTAAGCCTTGAAATGTTTGCGAAAGAGACTTTAAAATTTGTCAAAACATCGATGGATGATTTAAAATGAGTCTACGACGGAAAAAATGAGATGAAAAACCGAGTTGTCTCTCTAACATGAGTAAATTCAGGTTAGAATATTGATGTAGAAATGCATTCTTCATTTCCTAGGAAGGAATTACTTTGCGGAAAAGTGTCTAACAAATGGGAAACTCATAAGCCGCACTTCACTTACCACTGCAGAGGGCGCCAATGACAGCTCCACATAAGATGAACCTTTTGACGGGAAAAGTGGCCATAGGTACTTAATTTCTCTTCCAAATCGTAGCTGCAACGATCCTGTCGAAAATATCCTCGAATTTTACATCGGCAGGAAAAAACACCCCTTCCCTTCGATGCGGAGGCAATTTGTATTATGGCTTACTTTTTGGCAAATGTTCCTAATAAGATGTGAATATTATTAACTTAATCAAACAATGTTTGTCGGCAAATCTGTAATCTTGAATTTCTAGTTGGTTCTAAACTTCTCCCGGCTGTGCACTCCAGGGAATTACATTACAGCATTGATTATTTTTCATTCGAAAACGGGTTCCTCAAGGGACGCGATAAAATAACTTAACTCAAAAATTTCATCTCATTTTTTTCTTAGAACTGTCAGCTATTTTGGCTCGAAAAAAATCGTTTTTAACAAAACATAGCTGTCAATTTCTTATCTCAAATTACATTCACTTTGGACACGTTATTGATGTGCACAAATAAAAAAATGGTTAGTTACGCTTAAATTGACCAGTGCCAACATCGTTCTTGATTTTGAACGCATTTATCCCTGTAGGATATTTCCATTGTAAGATATTCTCGTTCAATAAACCATTGGTTCTGTGATAATTGATAGATATACAAAGATTGTCTGAGAAGAAAAATGAACGGAAATTTGTTACGCTGAAATTATTTACTTTGCAAAATATCTGCCGAAAGACTGAAGGTCTTGAAGGGACATATGCCCAGAAAGAGATCAGGGCAAATTAAACGCATTTATCTCACAATCCCACGCAGTGAAATCAATGCGGGAGATTCAATTTGATTACCTTTTCAAATGCTAAATCGATATTTTTCGCGTGTTTCGGAAAATATAGAGGTCAGGGGAGGCTCAATAGTGAAATAAACAAATAATCATTTGCCGTGGATAACACAACAGCAAAGTTAAATGGCAAGCATCATGAAATAAATTTCACTTGACGCGCTTTATCTTTGCATTGTTGACAAGAGACTGGTTACTCCTTTTGTTTTCTGAGTTAAAGCGCGTTTACGGGGAAGATTATTAAAAACCGATGACCTAAATATGCATTGCTTTTGCTTTATTCAGTGTCTCGAGGATTTAAAAACATAATCCGAAAATTCTTCAGAAATGTAATAACATCGACTGAAATTACAATGAAGATGTTTTAAAACTGATTTCCAAGGCGATCACCTCGGCCGATGGACGGATTAAAAACTAATTGTAAACTTCCGTGAAGCTCAGATGCATGCTCTTGAAGTTTTCGACAAATTCAAAACCAAAGCAAATGATAAAAACTGAGGGAACAGTTAACTAGGGTCCCGACGAAGGGCTATAACACTCGAAACGTCAGCTTAAGAAACTACTATACGATAGCAAATTTACATTACCCACTCAGCTGATAAAGCTAAATCATTTTGTAATATCACAACAAATACAGCTTCACAGTTTCTTTCAGAACTTACCCCCTTTGAAGTAGCTTTACGTTTCAGCGTTAGCAATAACTTATTGACATTGTTGAAGCTTTTGGATAGCAGCAGAGATGTAACGAATTTAAGAAAATAAACGACACTTTTGAAAAACATGTTTCGACAGTTCTTCTGTCATCTTCAGTTCTGATTTTACAAAGTACAAAGTTGAATTTTAAGTGTAACAAAATGCTGATTGGACAAAACAAACAATACTAGCAGAACAATGTATGCAATTGCGTTGCGCACAAAGTTGTGTGTTACTTAATACACAAAGCGATTAAAGAAGATTAGGGGGTTATCAGAATGCACGAGGTAGGATACGCAGGATTCAGCAAGGGACTGCGGCTTTATTATAGATGTAACCAGAGTAAACTTCTGAAATCTTTAACCCTCACATCTTGGATACATGAAGTACTCCGACATAAAGTACCTAATCCTTCCCTTTAATGGCTTATTACTCTTAGCGACTGTTCTCTCAAACAATTAAAAGGTCATTACGTTGCGCACAAAGCTGTGGAGTACTTAATGCAAATGGCCATTAAAGAAGATTAAATTCGTTTCAAAATCCTCTTTACACGTGTTTCTTTTCGCTTCTTCGATATGCACTGCCGTGGGGGCTTTCGATTCACCGCGTTCTATTTGCTATTTGTCGTTGTTGTTGTGTCTTCACTTAAATCAATGCCTTCCTTGAAGAAAATCGAGACAATGTAAGAAACAATCACCGTTAGGATTCAAGTTCTTTGTAACTCCAGGGTATACCATGAAAATTAATTGTGATTGTATTCCTTTATGGGAACAAAGAACCTACTACAGTTTACCCCGCTACCAACAACTTATTTCGTAGTTCAGTTGACAGTGGCGTCCACTTTTTCAGCCTTCTTGTCTTTCTTTATGATTGGAACTTACTCGCGAGGATCATACCTCTACTTGATTAAAAGTTGTGCCAATAGTTTGCCTTTTACATTGGAAGGTCCTCACAACGATATCATTTTACGAGCACGTAGCAGACAGCACTTCAGAAATCACCGTGATGTCGCAACAAAATCCCTTATCAAGAATTTCTCATGAACCATGTGTTAGCGCTCAGCGTCAGTTGGGGACTCAATCTTTCCTCTTGACGAAAGCTTTCTCTTCTTCACTTCAATAAGCCACTCCGAATTGTTCGCAGTAACCCCAGTTAATGCCAGTCAGCTCTGGTAACCGATATGTTGACAGATCTTGAGAATGACCAACTTCGGAAGGTCACATCATTCAGCTGGGTTAAAAGCCTCTCACAATTTTCCATAAGCGGCCAGCTCTAATTACAGACTTGTTTAATCCCTAGGAGTTTCCGCTTGAGTCTTCTTACTCACTCTCGTAACTGCTTCCTCAAGTTACGGTAGCTTCTTCTTCCTTTTCTTTTTTAGCCGAGGTGTCCTCTTGATTCAGTCTCCGGGTGACTGAAAGACAAATATGGAAATTTCTCCTTGATCAGGAACTTAATTCTCTTAATCCACGACATTTGAAATTGGTCGGAACAGGTAGAGAGAGTATCTCTATTTCACCACCAGTTTTATGGTACCCGAATAAGATAAATAGACGAACTACTTACACCTCGCTGGTTTGTTAAATATTAAAAGGTTGACTTTTGAAACAAAGCTGAATAAGACTGGAAATATAGTTTCATCTGATATCTCAAAAGAAAGTTCTGAAAAAGCTTTTAAGGATTTTGTGGTAACGGGAGTGAATTTGGAACAAAGTAAGTGCGTAATGTCTAACCTTAAAAACAATATATTTTGACTACGTACAAGAGGAGATGTAGTTCGTAAGGGATATTTCTACGTATGCATTGGTGTTATGAATAAACATCGGCACGCTTATTCTGTTCATTCATTTTTTCCATATGGTAAATATCTTTTACCATTTCTGTGGAGTTTTTGTCCTTTTCTTTTAGTCTTTGCATAATCTAGCTATAGGCCATATCTATAAATACTTCCTTCCTGAAAAAAATCCCATACATCTGAAGAAGAAATTCCTCTCCCTTTAGTTTTACTTAACACCTTAATTACATCTGTGAGATGGAACTATAGCTTCCCTACAAAGGCTTTGGTTGACTAAAGAGTTAAATGACCGATTATATCATGCTTTTACTCCTTAGAATTATTTTCATAACCTATCACGTAGTTAGTCATATCTAGAATGTTATGACTCCTTCTTAACCATAATAATATTTCCCTTCTTTGGTAAATGGGGAAAGATACTAAAAGCCAAACACAGGAAATACAAGATTTTTAAAGAAATAAACAAATACTAACTCAATGCCATTCGTATCCTCGCTTCCTAGAGCAACCAGCAACGCATGGATGGGAAATACTGGTCCTTCCTTCTTAGTTTTGGAATATGTTTGATGATATGTGCATCTGTTACTGGTCGTCTGGCGCTGAAAAAGGGTTAGACTATCACACTGACTTCTTAACATTTTCAGGCTCAAGATCTCATCAATAATTCTCTTTACTGACTTCCATACAATTCTTATAATGTTAGTTCGGAGAACTTGGTATTGGATCGACTGATAATCCCTTTAATGAATTTTTTTCTTCTTTGTTCTCATCACTTGTGTGCATGATATTGTAAAGAGAAATTATATCTTGGTCACTCGTGGGAGTTAAATGATCTAATTTAATTATAATCAGACAACAACAAATCGTTTCACGTTTTACATTTACAATTAAAACAGTTATATCACATCTTAGGGAAACGTTTCAAGACAGCTTAATATGCGGGTCAACCTAACACATTACTAATCGATTTTTGACATACAAGACCGACTTTGTTTCAGTGAACACCAAGAGGGAACTTTGTTACTATAGAATAGTAATGATTATTTTTGCTGAAATTCCGCCTTGTAAGACTTGAATGCATTTGCAGTTTGGCTCCTTATAGCTCCTGGTTTCCATATAATAGCCCAGATCACCTCCATCATGCCAGTTTTTAAAACATTAGGAATTATGTGATTGATCGTATGGAAACCGCGGCTGAAGCCCAACTCAGATATATGCTAATCTGACCAGCAAAAAAACTTCCATTGCTGTTCCTATTATTCTCCATACGTTATTCTTGGAACCTAAATCTTCCTTGCCTGATTACAAGTCATTGCTTTTATTCCAGATATCAGAAGAAACGCCTCTCCTTGTGGCTCCGATTGCCCTTCGTACTGTTTTCCTGAATGCTTGCCCGATTGTTGTAACTTCTTCCAGTACTACACACCTGCACCACCTCCACCCCCTCCTCCACCTCAGCCCGGACCCCCCGGGCCTGATGGTCCAGTTGGTCCTAGTGGACCACCAGGGCCGGATGGACCAAAGGGAATACCCGGACCACCCGGTCCTCCGGGGCCTCCTGGATTCCCCGGAGCTCCAGGTAGTCCGGCTGGCTCTCCAGGTAAGTTGCGGCGATCTTGAAAGAAATTATCACAGTAAATTGAGAAAGGTTTTTGGAAGCTTGTGGAAAACGAGCAAACATAAAAATGTAAACAACATGACGTACAAATCAATGAACAAAAACAAAATCAAAATTCAACTACTTAAAATTAGTGCTGATAATACATTTGGGGTCCATTACATTAGTAAATTAACGGTTTCGACACCCTTTGTCAGCGAAAGTGTCTAATGTCAGTGCCACGTTCCTGTTACTAATCGGTGACTTATAGTCTTGGTTAAGAGCTAAGGATGATCAGTCATGGCATTACGAACTAATACACGCTCTTGCTCTATACATTCAAAGGAACACCGGGACCCTCTGGAAATCCAGGACAACCTGGAAGTTTGGGAGAACCTGGCGATATGGGTCCTATTGGCCCCCCTGGGCCCCTGGGTCCGCCAGCCGCCCCTGGCCCTTCAGGTAATCCTTCTTCTTTAGCATTTGTAATTTTGCCTCTTGTTCGACATTCGATCAAGCTAACTGTTATCCAAGGTCAGTTTGATCAGCTTATTTGGCAGGGTTTTTGAGCAAACATTGTAAACAATGTACGTATCAAAATTCTGCACAATCAGTTGAAAAAAAAGTTTTTGTCGAGTTGTTGATCCAGATATTTTATAGGTTAGTAAAAATGTCCTCTTCTGTTTGTTTGTTTGTTTGTTTTTTTTTCAATTTTTTTTTGTACATTTCGAATCTAAAGGGCTTATGGATAGAAGCCAAAGTTAAGTTAACAACTTTAAATATTTCGCAAACGCTACTGCAAAATTACAACGCAAGTACGGGGTCATTTCAGTACATATTTTGTGCCTTATTACATCCATTTTGAAATCACAAGGGATCCTTTCAATCTGCTTGGCTATCATTAGCACTAATCATTCACGAATCGAACGAATTTTTACTCTAAATTGCATCTTTTCCCCAGCAAATGAGAGACCCTCACTACAACACAACATCCAATCAGATTTCAAGGCTTGTTTGAAGTAACCAATCAAATTAGAGAAAAATGAAGAACAACTTTTGCAATTTTTTACGAACCAGCTCACTACTGCTGAGATCATAAAATATTTGCATAGTTAATCCTGTATTTGAGGGACTGGATATTTACATTTTAAAATGGATGCCAATAGAGTGGTTACTGGACTAAGTGTTAGGCAATTTTGGTCTGAAATCATACTCATGGTTTCCAATCAAACTCGCGCTGCGCGCTCGTTCTATTTTGAAATCACTCGTATGATTTCAGACCAAATTGCACTCCACTCAGTTCAATCATCGACATTTCCTTAAGCAAAGAACTCTTTAACAAAGCCAAACCACACTACGAAAGTGCACTTAAACAAAGTGGACACGACGAAGAATTAATCTACATTGAAGGCAAGAAACCTGTAACTCACACCGTACAGAACAGCCGCAAGAACAGACAAAGAAACATAATTTGGTTTAATCCGCCCTACAGCATGAACGTACAAACAAACATCGGCAGAGAGTTTCTAAACCTCGTCAGTAAACATTTTCCGAAAAATCACTGGTACAGCAAAATTTTAAACAAAAACAACATGAAAGGTAGCTATAGCTGCACAGACAACCTACAAACCATAATTAAGAAACACAACAGAAAAATCTACGAGACAAGCAAGACACCCTTCACGGAAAACAAATATAACTGCAGGAAAAAAACGACTGCCCTCTGAAAAACAACTGTCCAACTTCAAGCGTCGTTTACAACGCCAACGTAACAACTGAAAATGACACAACCGGAAAGAATTACATTGGACTAACTGAAGGAACTTTTAAACAACGTTACACGCAACACAAACTTTCTTTTCGGAACAGAAACTATTCAAACAGCACGGAACTATCAAAGCATATCTGGACACTCAAAGACAACAACACCAATTTTACAATTAACTGGAGTATTTTGGCGACCACCCCGGCCTACAGCAACAAAAACAAGCGGTGCCACTTGTGCCTCACACAAAAACTTATTTAGTTAGAGCTAAGAAGCCGTCTTTATTAAACAAAAGAACAGAACTCATTTCTAAATGCCGCCACGAGAAAAATTTTTTTTTTACCAAATTTCACAAGCCGCCAACAATAGCTCTATAGAATCTTTATTTCACATGTAGATCAGATCATCACATTTGTGAATTAATTAGCTACTTATCTAATTTGTATATAAGGAGGTATGTTCTTCACTGAATAAAGTTCTGTCTGACGAGCGCTTAGGCGCGAAACTCAGAGTAACAGAGAATCGATGCGTCCTCTTTGATTCTTTCCCTTATATATTCTCCGCTCTGCTACCACAGCATTGACCACTTTATGCCAAGGTAGACTCTACCCCCACATTTATATATATATAGATATATATATTTTTTCCCATTCAATCAGGACCAAAAGGACCAAATGGTGATAATGGACCTGCGGGAGCAATGGGGCATCCAGGGGAAATGGGAGATCCGGGCTTGGCAGGACCACCTGGTCCCCCTGGACCACCCGGACTTCCAGGAATTCCAGCCACCTCTCCTCCTCCAACATGTCCTGAGATTTGTGAGACAATCTGTGTAAGTACATGCCCAAGCGACTGTTGTTCAAGAGCTGGTGTACCAAGTGCAGATGGTGAGTTGGTCGATGGTCGGTTGTATTATAATTTCGTACCTAAAAATAAATGTAGTGTTTCATTGCCGCGATCCATCTCCTAAAGAGAGGTGAAACGAATAAGGAAAATGCTCAAATGCTGATTTTGTTAGGTTCTTTAAAAACCTTAAGAGAGGATGTCAGCATCCATCGAACAAATTTGAAATATTGTGGTGGGTCGCCCAAAATTCGTTTTCCCTCCTACTTTCATATTTTGTAGCCCAATATGTTCTAATAATTGTGGTGTAGTTTTTTTTTCGTTCGACCGCTCAAATATGCAAATTTTCACCGTGAATATTAACCGAGTTGTGTGACCTCATGTAACGATTCCACTCGACCTCCGGCGTATCTGTCAACATAATACTTTGTTTTATCATCTAAACTTAATCTCCTGTCTCTATTGAAGCTGGCAAAGAGATATTTATTTTTTGGTGAATATTTTTGTCCGACATACTTTTGCTGTGGCGAAAAGTAGCATCAAAACAAAGACAGTTTTAACAATGACCGATATGACCGATATGACCGATATTACCATAAAATTTCCTTGTGTATTTGTATTGTTCTATCTTGAGACGAACTCAAAGTCCACCAAAATTTACTTGATAGTGACTATGAAATATACATGGTGTGCCTACTTGTCGCTACCGTTAACTGGCACAAATCGCTACAATTTGTAAAAAAATCTAACGTAGCACTCTTACCTTGTTTAATAATACCATGAAATTGCGATAGGTCATGTGGGAGCAATGGGAAGTCCAGGGGACCCAGGAGCAGCTGGGGAACCCGGAACTCCCGGTCTCCCTGGAGCACCAGCCACAGTAACATCTTACGAAGCCCCAGGTGGTACACCAGGTCAGGCAGGTAAGAACTTTAGACTCTTGAAATAGAATTCAGTACTTAATCATGATAATGTTGAAGATAACGACAGTGACTGAGGAAAAGTCGACAACAATACAAAGAAAAGGACACTATCGATGACGATAGTGATGAATCGAAAACTATTCCTGTCTTTTGTAATAGAAGACGCATCATAAGGGCAGGTCGTGAAACAAACTCTTGTTTACGTTTATTTGTGTTGCCTCAGAGCAAAAGTTGTTTCCAGAAACCATGTAATATTCACCTTGGTCCCAAGCCTACCCATTTAAAAAAACCTCTTTTCAAATGTGTTCCAGGTTTTTATTATGGACGCCGACACTTTAAGAACAGCTAAGTAATTCGGCAGCACATTCTTACCTAAAAAACAAGGTTCATAAACAGCCTGTGGGCGCCCCTGATATTGCTGAAAATTTTCAGGATGCCCTTTTGATGAATTTCAAATTCTTCAAGCAGTTCGCCAATTAGTAAATAGCGGACGAGTTGCTGGACGAGATTCAAAATGGAGGCGTCGATAGTCGATATGTAACTCTTCGCAACCTCAAAATGCAGTTGTAGCCATAATTTCATGCACATTTTGTTATATGGAGATGAAAAAGATGTTGTGTCGTTACGCGCACAGCCCCCTTAAACCACTCTTTTCAAATATTTTAAACTTTGGGGCGATGGAAATGAGACGAGTTGTTTGTTCGTGAAAGATGAAAGTCTACAAGGTCAAAGGTCAAACTGACAACGACCGTAGCTCATACCTGAACTTTCCCTCCGAACTAGGTGTTCAAGGACCACAAGGCCCACAAGGAGCAAGCGGAGCCATGGGGGCTATGGGAAGTCCGGGAAATCCAGGGGAAGCTGGGGCAGCCGGACTTCCGGGTCCTCCGGGTCCACCGGGTCTACCTGGGGTACCAGCGGGAACTTCCACAAATGACAATGCCTCAACGGGTGTGCCAGGTCCTGCAGGTCAGAGGTTGAATAAAATCTTAAGTGACTTGAAAGAAAGTAACGACTACGTTCTGAAATATTTTCTCTAGTTCCAGTTGTTCTAGAATTTTTAAAATACTAATTTATTTTCCCTAATTTATGTTATTACCTTTAGGACCTCAAGGACCTCAAGGTCCTCAAGGGGCAATCGGGGCCATGGGAGCAAGGGGAAAACAGGGAGATCCCGGTGCTGCCGGACAAGCAGGACCTCCGGGTCCACCAGGGCCTCCAGGTCCCCCCGCTGGGGCACAAGCATCAACACCTGCAGCCTATGGTGCACCAACAGGTACACCCGGTCAACCTGGTAAGGAAGTTTGAATTACATAAGAATGATTTCAAGAGATTTCCTGATTGGCCATACAAGTTTTATATTGGTTTTCTTTTTCTTTTTCTTTTTAAACCCATGGTTAAACAGGTTTATGATATTAATTACGATCTATCATTAACAATTAAAACTTCCATTAGGACTTCAGGGGCCCCAAGGTCCTCAAGGGGCAATGGGGGCCATGGTAGCTAGGGGAAAACAGGGAGATCCCGGTGCTGCCGGACAAGCAGGAACTCCGGGTCCACCAGGACCACCAGGTCCCCCCGCTGGGGCACAAGCGTCTACGCCTGCAGCTTATGGTGCACCAACAGGTACACCAGGCCAACCTGGTAAGAACGTTTGAACTACATACGAATTATTTCAAGCAATATCCTGATTACCTAATATATGTGTCATGTTGGTTTTTTCTTTTTCAACTCATGTTAAAATAGGGTTATGATATCAATTGCAGTATATTATTAACAATAAAAAGTTCCATTAGGACTTCAGGGGCCCCAAGGTCCTCAAGGGGCAATGGGGGCCATGGGAGCTAGGGGAAAACAGGGAGATCCCGGTGCTGCCGGACAAGCAGGACCTCCGGGTCCACCAGGGCCACCAGGTCCCCCCGCTGGGGCACAAGCGTCGACGCCTGCAGCTTATGGTGCACCAACAGGTACACCAGGCCAACCTGGTAAGAAAGGTTATCTTCTATCAAAATTGGTTGAAAGACTTGCGAATTGTGTGTTTAGTGTTCCTAATTAAAAGTTCAATTTGAAAATGATTTACCGTGTCATTTAACCTAATAGTGACAATCAAAAACTAATAATTAGCATGATTGTGAGAGAAGGACTTTAATTATTTCATACGTAAAAAGTGACATAAAAAATGATTAAAAAACAAAAACAAGGAATAGCAGACTGTCCCAATAGTATATTGCTTTAAGTCATGTTCAAATAAGTATCTTATAATCCGTCGTGGAAAATGTCACAGGCCATCCTCATTTCTATCCCTAGAAATTGAGCGCAACTTCTAATCTGCTATCTGAGAATCACTAAGTCGTTGAAAGATTTTGCTGAAAAAACAGCTCTGGATTTATGGATTTTTCAATGTTTCTCACGGCATCATTTTAACATAATCAACTATACTTCACTTCTGACAGGTCTACAGGGACCATCAGGGCCCCAGGGAGCAATGGGAGCCATGGGAGCCCCAGGAAAACAGGGAGACCCTGGAGCCGCCGGACAATCAGGACCTTCAGGCCCACCAGGCCCTCCTGAGGTACCAGCGGCTACACCTGCAGTTTATAGTGCCCCAGCTGGTGCACAAGGACCGACAGGTTAGACTCGAAACACGACTTCTGGAAATTAATGGAGCACACTGATACGGATCAAACCAAAAGACAGAATTCCGGATAATGAGATTTTCGATCGAGAGTTGAACGAAAAGAACCCATGGTAAACGGCTTCAAACATGTCGAAACTGGTTTAAGAGTTTGAGTTATCTTTGAGTTATCTTAAGACCAATCTGAAAGCATTACAATCAGAACTGCAGAAATTTCATTTTCACTTACTTTCGACATTCAGTAAACCCACCCAAGTTCTAAATTTCTAATTGACTTTAGTGATCTATAGAAGATTTGATTTTTTTATATCTGGCAGAATAAATACGAGTAAAAGTATAGTCTCTCTTGAGACGTTTTGACTGCAAAGTTAGTCAACTTAAGCATTTTTCCTTTACAAATATGATGACCAATAGCCAACTCATGATTAGCTCGCTCCGCAAGGAAGCGATTTTGCTTCCACGAGAAGTCCCTTTTTTTCGCAACATACGTTTCTGAAAAGTATATTGGTCATTAGGATGTTTAAAAAGGTCATACCTACTAAGTATGGTGAACTAGCGCACAACTAAGAATGAATAAATTATTTTCAAATAAACAAAAGTTGATGATCATTTTCAAAATGCTTTGTTTTCCAGGACTCCAAGGACCTAAGGGCCCCCAAGGTACCATGGGAACTCCCGGGACGATGGGACAGCCAGGGGACCAAGGAGCCGCTGGACCTCCAGGACCCCCAGGGCCACCCGGGCCTCCAGGAGTGCCGGCGGCGGATGTTGCACCCGTTTGCCCGGCGATTTGTGATAAATTATGTGTTGGTATTTGCCCTACAAATAATTGTTGCAAAAAGTCAAAAATCCCAATCAAGAAGGTGCAGATTTTAAACAAAGGAAGCATCATACCCGTAAAAGCTGCAAGCGCTACTCAAGGAAAGGAAGGCGTGCAAGGTGAGAAGACTCAGAGAGGAAGACTGATTCAAGGAAAAAACCCCAGTCAGAATATCAAAAGAAGCAAAATAAGGCATAAAAATAGTATCTAGGATCAATATAGTTATGCGAAGATTCTCATAATATTGAACAATCTTGAAATCGTCTCAAATGTATTGTACATTAAATACTTTATTACATACCCCTACTATTTAACTGAAAACTACTTCAATAAATATGTAGAAACATACAATCATCTTATCTCCTTCATGTTCAAAACCATGCTTCTCCGACAAGTTAAGTCAGCGTTACTAGCGGTTTTGAGTGTTCTTAAAAACGACGCCGGAGCGCCTAAACCGCTAGGGGAACCGTCTCCCGCTTCGATCTTCTCGCGACTTCACTCCTTATCAGTTTAAGTGCGCGTATACAAACGCTGGTACGAAAGCTCTGGCAAGGCCTTTTTTTTATTGATAGAGGCGAGATATTGGCTTGCGTTTCGAAAATGTGGTTTCCTATATTTGGGTAGGATAAATGAGGGTTTGCTTCCTTTTTTACAGTCACATGACCGGCCGAGAGAGGACTCAAATTGTACGATTATGTAAACTCGTTCCTCAAAGCAATAACGCATCGGCTTACTTTTCTTATCGTGGCTTGAAGTATTGTGCAAAACTTTCACTACCTTGTCAATGAACACATACAAGACTGATAAGTTTTTAGCTCTGAAGCTCAATGATAACACATGAATCTTTGTCACGTTAGTCCTTGGAGACCAAATCGTCATTAGAGTTCGATTCCCGCTTTTTCTAATTTGGTAGGCAACGCATTTTTCACTTTGAGTGGGTGGTTTATGCCTACCATCATAATAGCATCATTTAGTACTGAACAATCTGGCTCTCTTTTTCGACTTTTTCAATCGTTTAACCCCATTTTGCTTACGGTCTGACGTCATTGAAGTCGACACAGAAAACTTGCTCGTCCATTTGAAAAAGATAATCTTTTTTTAATATTTGAAATTCCAAGGGTGCAATTGTTACCTCTAGACAACATTTATTTCAATATTTTCTTATAAATTATTTTTTTATAAAAAATGATGGGCGTCGTTTCGTAGCTGAAAGCTTACTTCTGTGTTTTTTGAATAAACAACGGCCATCAGTATTATCATTTGTTGTACTTATAAGGGCTAGGTTATAATTACAGTCATTAAGTACACCTAAGCACATTGTCCTATTAACAGCTAGGTACTTATATTGATACAGCCTTCCCATTCTTGTCTCGTCAAACAGAATATTGCCATCAGAAACACTGTCGCAACGCCCTTCCTGCGAACGCAATGTAAACAAATAAACATATCGACAGATAACCATATTCCTATGCATTACGGGGCAAATCACTATTGTTAGTGTAATTTGACACAGGGAAACTCAATTGAGCCGGGAAGTTCCTTTGAAGCTAGTAATGTAAAAATTACAGATAACACTCACTCCATACAAATAAACAACGTCTTACGTGTCTGACGCTTTTCCTAGAATATTTATACTTAAAACATGATCACAAAATATCATTTACACAAGCGACTGAAAATCTAGTTAATAACCTCGTGTGGATGGACACTGTCTCAAATGACTGACGCTTTCTTAAAAGTATTTAGTCTGCAAGCATGGTCACAAAATTTCGTTCGCATAAATACTGACGTCATTTCGTCAGTGTCTCTAAGGGTGATGTGCAATCAGCTAGAAACACCCTATATTGTAATCATGAAGCACTAGAGTTAATATTCGGACTTTCTAAATTCAGTAAATAAATATCAGTGATTAAAATTATTTGACAAAAGAATTTTTTTCATTATATGCTTATCAGTTTTTTAGTGAATTCATTTTAAATTACGATCCCCTCAAAGCTATACTCACCTCAAAAGTGACCATGGCGTTTTTCACCACTTTTAATGTATATGTAATGTTTTGGTTATGAATGAACTGGATACAGATTTTCCCTCCTTTTTGAAACAACTCAAATCCTACCGCGAAATGAAAAACACACTTGTCAGCGAAACAAATATGAAATAACAGCATTCAATACTCTAAGATTTTCAAAGAAAGTGCATTTCGAGACATTTGCATTCAGTCTTAGTAATCAAGTTTGTTGTGAAACTAGAATTAAGCCCAAAATTGCTTTGTCATAAGTGGCGCGACTTGCAAATTGAAATGCGAATTGCTCTATTTGAAAATTTTCAATATTTGAATTATCTACTCAAAAATATGGCAGCTAAGCAAGCCTTCAGGAAAATTTTGGTTTATAGAAAAAAATATAGAATTTGTGGCTATAACGAGTGGTAACTTTGAAGCTATACCCTTTCACTGCTTTAGTAATGATGAGCTGATTTCCAATTTTAGAACAAGGAAAAACTTAAGGACCGTTTCCCAAGTAGAATTTGCACAGCCCGCATCAAGACCTCGCATACATATATCTCATCAGCCGTTTTAGTGTGTAGTATCGAGTTGACGCGTTGTGCCATGTTTTGACGAGCCCGTAAGGCGAGTCAAAATACAAACGAATATAAACAAACGAGTACAAATACTCACCGATACTACACACAAAAACGTCTAATAAGATATTATCATCCAACTTGCTAAGTTTTTCTGCTCATTTCTCTTAAGGTAGGAAAAGCAAAGTGGATAGAGAAGCGTAGCGCGCGCAGCCGACTGGTTAAACAACCTTTTTTACAATAAAAAATAACCAACTGTCAAAATAACCGTACAATATCGCAGGATATTCTCTACTTTGTGCAGTTGAATAATAACGACTAATACCATGGTTTTTTCTATATCAAACATGCGCATCAAATAAATATTTTTTTCCTGTAACTGTTTATTCAAGCTTAAGACGTAAACAGAAACCTGAAAATAAAAGAAACAGATCAGAGGACTCCGTCTACTTTGAGTGACCAATCAGATTGCAGGATCTTTTACTTCGACCCAATCACATTCATTTTAAGCCCAGGAAGAGTAATATTGCGCTACCAAGTTTCTTAAAATGCAATATTGACATAGAAAATATCATATCTTGAAGCAGATAAATAGGAAACTTCTTGAGGAGTTATTTGGAAGTTTTTTTTAATCGAAAGCTTGGGCAAAAGCTGCTTTGAAAGTCACAATTTGATGTTAACCCCTCAAAAGGCGATTCCCCTGATACCAATAATGTGCCTTCGTCCAGACGTATTTATTTAACAGATGATTTGCATGTGATACCATCACGATCATGATTTTCGTTTCCTCGAGGGGATAATTTTTCATTTGGTGGAATTAAGCCCTACGTGACGATGACAACGTCTGCTTAGAGAAATAGTATTGGCCCATTTCTTTAAAAAAGACGTTGTCATCGTCACGTAGGTTTCTAAGCTTCGTTAATCGCCAGGTATCCATCACAAGCTCTATCTATAAGCTTTGGTGTTTTGACTGCGCTATATGTTTCTTCGTAACACAGCCCCAAACGTCTGTGATGATGCATTTATTTTGGAAGACGTACCTTTTTTCCCCTCGCCAATTGTTTTTGGTTTTCGAATGATCAGGGGGAGAAAGCAGGACTGGGCAAGGCGAATTTGTTCAAAATCATGTCTATGAATTCCAGTGTTGCTACACTGGAGCCATGTAAATTTATACTGATAACAGCAAATTTAAGGCTCATATTTAAGACAAATGGTCGTAAAGGTAGAATCAGGGATCAGTTGGTACAGTGTAACCAAAGGGAAAAGCGTAAATCATTATCTTGGTTCAGTTAAAATTTTTGTCCGTGAACAACGACGAAAGAAAACTCAAACAAATTCGTTTGGTTATTTACTTACTCGTTGAGGGGTCTTTGGTACTTGAACCATTGCACCTTGCCTCGCATCGCTTCTTCTTTTCAAAGACTGTGCATTGTTGCACTGCAATTTTCACAAGGTTACCTCCTTTACAAGGCTTATGGAGTCTAAAATGAGATTGAAGCCTCCAAAGGGTCTGATATTGTAGGCTTGTCCTCGATTCGATTTTCATCATAAGAACCACGAAGCGCATGAAAATAGCCTATTGATAAAATGGTATCAACATAAACCATTGAATTGATTCTAATCAAAAGATAAGCCTACAAAATTTACAGACAGACTTAAGTAAACCAAAATGAGATTTAGGGAAGCAACAATCTCTCTTATTAACCCACATACGTGAGCGTACAAAATTGTTCTCAACTCCATCTTGTAAGATCTCCTTCCACGTAGAGGTGAGACTAGACACTTTTGTAACGACTGCAGTGTTCTTAAATAAACGCAAGATTGCACATCATAAAATTCCTATAAAAAGGACTAACCGCAATTCTATGTTAGTGGTTAACTTATTCAGCGTGCGAGTCAAGATCCCGGAAAAGGAATCGCCCTCAAGCAAGTTGATTACCTTGAAATGACCGGAATGCCACAATTTGGAAAAGGCTTAAAGCCGATGATATTGCCTCTTTGTGGTTAGAGATGAGTTAAAAAAACAAATTGGCTAGGTCAGACGTCTCTGTCGTTGGAATATTTACAACATGCATGTATGAATCCTTCAACCGTATTCTTTTTAAGCTTTATTTTTTTAACAGAATGCATGGTTCCATGCATGGCAGTGTTTCTGAGCCCTATTAATAGTAGAAGGAATAAAAGTTACCCTCACATATCTTCCACCTAAGCCATGGAGAAACCACCTTCATTTCTGTGTTTGAATTTGTGCAGAGAAGTTCTGATAGAAGAAACAAGACTTGTCAAAACTGAGAAACTCGACGGGGAGGAATTGGTGTTTGAATTGGTGCGTAAATCAAAGCCAGCATGCAGTGCTTTAAATAAGATCTTTGCACATTTCCACGTGAGTGAGGAACTGCAACGAGCAAGGATTTACTAGTGACCTCAACGAGGGCAAGCCTAGATACTAGAAAAATGACATGGCCTTGATTTCGTTTAAGGGTATGAGACCTGGAGAGTTCGACCCCGTCCTCCTTCTCGTTTATTTATGATATCAATAAGGTGTATTTATTTATTTGATAAAAATTCGTATCAAAAATTTACAAGATGAAATTTACTTAAATATATTAAAATAAGCGCTTACAATATAAAAAACTACTAACGTGCTAATTCATATCTATAAATAAATATATTAAAAAACCTTTTTCAAAAATTTTCTTTTTCTATGTATATTTTCGTTCGAGTTCTTTTCTTTCCTTCTCCTTGAACGTTGTGAATGAAGAAAATGTTGGATAGGCCATGTTTATCCTTGTTAACTGTAATCAATAAATTAAATAATTCTCTTCACTGAAATATTTTTCAATACTTGACCGAATGCCATCGATTACAAACCTTTCCTTTAGATGCTTGTAATATTTGTAACTAGGAAAGTAGATGAGTAAATATTTTGTAGCCAACATACACGCTACATAAAAAAAATTACCTAAAAAGGAATGCAGACATGCTTTTGATAACCATTAATGCTTTGATCCTGTTCCGCAAGTAACAATCTAACACCGTAATTAAGGGGTCCTAAAAATGCTATATAAAATATGTCTGTGACATGCCACACGAAAAATAAAGAGATAAGTCATGTACCCATTTGAGGGTATAATTTCAATAATATTAATGGTAAAATGACCAAAAACCTGACTAAAAAGAAGTAAAAAGTAAAGAACTGTTTCTCTTTAAGACAACGACACCACTTTTTATGAAGAAAGTCTATTTTTTTCAAATTATCCCCAAATTACCAATGGTGCATGTTCTTTTGCAAAAAACTTATATTCGCTTTCTATGTTTCCTAAACAGACAACGCCTATCATTTCCATCGGCTCTTATAAGGGATAAGGTTACACCGCAGTCTCCAGGTACGCCTAAGCACAAAGTAGTATTTCCGACCGTGTGTAGATATTGATATAGTCTTCCAACTCTTTTCTCGGCAAACAGGAAATTGCTTTGAGTGGTACATCGCTGTTTCTGTAAATGTGATGTAAAGAGATGTATTTATCGCCATTTGGTTACAACTCAAGTAAATGGTGCGTACCTCGCGCGCCAGTTGGCAGCTCAAAGTCGAGCAGCAATGAATTACTCGCATCCGAGAAACGAAGAGAAACATTTTGGTTTCCCGTTTCGTACGGTACCCAAGGTTGTAAATGATAATGATAATAAAAGTAATAATAACAATAAAAACAGTTTTAATTATTTGTTGGCATAGTTTGATTCTTTAGATGTTCCACTTGCTAGTGCGCATGTCTAATTAAATATTTTAAACTATCGCAACGGTACTATGATTGCAAAATTCTTATTTGTGTTAAATTGATAACGCAATATTAACGTAACTTGTAGAACAGATTAACTCAGTAAACTGATGATGGCATGAGTCATGCCGAATCATGACTTTAAATAGTATTTTCTTGAGGTTAAAATTAATTTCAATAATAATAGCAATAGTAAAAATAAGAGTACTGATAATACTAATACTAACAATACTAATAATCATAATAACAAAGATGATGATGATGAAATCATTATCCAAATATCAAAGCCTTGAAACCTGGAAGGAAGAGGTAAATTTACTGATCGTGTTTTATGCCTATTTTGTTCTCTTACCCCCAATTGACAAACATTTATCTTTTAATTTGGGCGTGGATGCTCGTAAGTGGCCTATTACGTGATTTCTCAAGTGTCTGGTAGAGTGTGTTCCATTCATCTTTAAACACTTAATATGTAGACTAGTGAGTCCTTTTGAAAATAATAGCCTATCGATGAGTTAAATCAGCTACTTACATAGCTAATGTCATATAAACAACAATGTTGGACGTCTGTGAGAGTTACAAGCATTAATCATCTTTGGACTCACCTCAAAAGTGACACTCGTACCATTGACAGCTTTTAATGAAAATTTCCTGCCAAGGTCGTCGGAAAATTGAATGCATTTTTTTCTTCTTAATTGAACCAGTTGGAAACCTTCAAAATTGCAAGAGTACAATGGTTAGATAGAAACTTGTCTGGAAGTAATATGGTGTCAAACATGACGGTATGTACTTGGTTTGTTTTGTAGTACTAAAGATTTTTTGATGGATAGAATACATTTTAAATGTATTGTTTGCGTCACATCCATTTACAAAATATACGTGGGCGAGCCATGTCTCTCGTGACATCGTGGGTGTTTTCTTACCTTCTTTCCTTTTGAAGTGGTTTTTCAAATGTAACGATACAATTTAACGCACGAACGTATGTCCACAAGGCGCCAAGAGCTATCATTCACAAGAACATACCGGTAACAATTGTATGTTAGTCATTCGCCTCGTTTTCAATTTTTGATTAAGTGTTTTATCGGGAAAACTCTTGGAAAACTATCACAACTCAATATTGTAAACTTTTTAATTAAGCTTGTTGAAAGATGCTCTTATTAAAGACTCCTTGTTTTAAGTTAAGTTGAGACTGAAAAACCTTCATGAAATAATGAGCACTTAAGATATTGTAAACTTATCTATGACTTTTGTTTGTACGAAACTTAAATTTAATCTGGCAAAATGCTTTATCTAGTACTTTAATATATAACTAATACCTTTTTTGTACAGATACAGTTACATCTACAGTTACATGTATATCTGAAGTTGTACTGATCAATACTATCGAAAATAGCTTCATTTTAAAATACGGACCAGATTTAACCAATTAGAAGATAATAATCATCTTTAAATGAATTAAGCTAAGTTACAGTTACTTACTCGTTGTAGAATGTTTGGTATACCAGCCATTACATTTTGCCTCGCACTTCTGCTTCCCGTTAGAAACCGTGCATTGGTTTGTATCAATTTTCATAAGGTTGCCTCCTTTACATGGCTTGTTCAGTCTAAAATGAGAACGAAGCCACCAATGGGTTGGTCTCTGTTGATTTCTCCACGACATAGCATCCCTCATGAGAAAGAAGACAAGAATGACCTGTAAAGGAAGGGAAAAAATGGAAATAAAAGAATGCAAAATAAACATCCCCCAATTTTTGTTTGGGAATAATAAGAAAAAATTTCAAGGGCAGATCATGTTAGATAACCAAACGAACATGCGGAAAAATGACCTCACGTACACTAACACGCAAAGTTCTTCTCAGGTCCATCTGTTGCAATACCTATGCAGAATTACCTACCTAACTGGTTAATGTAACCAAGCACGTACAGATCAATTCTTTTAAATCTGCAGAATTACGATGACGATATCTCTATAAAAAGCAATATCGTCGTGTGGTGAGCAGATTCAGGAAAATTCACCACCCTCAAGCACTTTTGCCAAGTCATGACGTTTCTGTCGTAGTTCCTAAACATTCGCAAGACATGACAAATTTTTATATTTTTATATTTTAATTCACAAAAATGAATTCAACTTTCCTTACCAACTTGCCTCATGGCACATCTTATTGTCAAATCTATCTTTGCAGAATTGATATCATTTCGAGGAGATGATATTTCCCAATTCCTTTTGATCACTCTCGCTCTACTGATAGAAAAGGAGTTTGAGATGAAATGTGAGCGACCTCTGTACACTTAAAAAAATGCTACGCCTCGTAATATAAATAATTGTCGTACTTCGTAATAACATTTATCGCACTCAGCGACAACATCTGTCGCACTTTTTAGGAAACTTTGTATAATTGGTCAGAGAGCAAACAGACCCAATAACAACCGTCATCCTCATTAACTATAGTAATAATATTATTATTATTGAGAATACAACTTTTTACTCTTCAGAGATTATGCGTTATTCACTGGCAATCAATTTGTTGGAATGCCTAACTGAGCTGCGCAAAATTAAGTCAATTTGATTCTTTCCGTGAATTTACTCATGGGAAGGATAGACACCTTTCATAGTAAAAACGGAGTTCACATTTATTTACCGGAGTTACGTTAACTAGTTTGTTTAATAGGAAATTATAAAAGTGTACAAAGTGCCTTTATGCTTCCACGGATAATATCAAATATTAGCATTGTTTGCTTCTAGCTAATTTAGGGAGGGGGGAGAACTGAGGGAAGGTTTAAGACAGTAAAAGTGTCGGTATGGAAGAGAACTGTTTGAGTGTGTATCTTTCACTTTCATGATGACGTTGTCAGTGTGACTCGCAAAACAAGAAAGACAAAGATTTAACTACTTTTTACGCCCACAAATACAATAATAGCTTTGCGGTTAATGAAAATTACTTTCCGTAACAATCTTGATTGATTATATTTTTGGAAAGCCAAATGTTTAATTGCTACAAGTCATGAAAATGATTTGAGCCGACTCCTTAATTCAAGCATTGAAATCCTCCGAAGAACTACATCGCTTTTTAAATCTAACTTTTTTCTTTAATCTCGTTCTCAAGGATGTACTTCAGTGCGCACGTGCTTTAAAGGTAGTAAATGGATAATCCATCAAACCTGTCACGACAAATTGTATGCTTGTTGGCCACATTTCATACTTATGTTTTCCTTAGTGGAACGCATCACGAGACACCAAGTTGTTTAACAATTGATGTATAAACGTTTATTAAGGAGTATTACGTGATTATGTGAAAGAATTCAGGATTTATGTATGGCCCCAACTCATCCGGTCACGAAAGTTAAGAAATTTCGCTCGATAGCCTGTATTCCCAAAAAATGTCTTAAAAAGAAATTTTTCCCATAAAATGATATTTGCTCATAGAAAAAAATAAAAAAATCAACGTAGAACATAACAGAACATAATAAAATCTGATCGAGGGTGGCTTCCATTTCAACTGGATTTTTCATATCCACCGCATACTATGCGCACAAGAGGCCTTCTTCAGAGTTTGCGGATTTGGGTAATGAAAGTGTAAACACTCAAAACAAATCAAACTAATCCCAAATTAAGCAACACTCAAACTTCATCATTCAAAGTGCCCACTTAAATAATACCAAAGAATCTCTTATCACGTCTACTTGAATGACTAACCAAAAATACGATGACGCCTAATCTAATAACCCATTAACACCAAATCAAAAACATGCTTTAAAGATGTTTTGGTAAACACGGTTTTTCACTGTTTTCTTCAAAGAGCTCACTGAAACTTATATTTGTCGAATTTAAGTTAAGCACTTCGAGGATGCAAGCCAGTAATTACTTGAACTCCATGTGAAGTTAAGTAGTTTATGTTTCTGTTGTTACGAGAAAATTTAAATCGGTTAACTACAAAGAGACATTTTCCCCTTATTTTGTTATGCTATTCAAATATTGTGAATTAAGAGAAAAATAGAACCACGCATTCGATTGTACCTAAGGAAGTACTTTGCAAAGCTTTTTGTATTACATAGACGACCGTGTGGCGATTACATCACGATTGTGTGGCGATTACGAAGTTGAGAACGCTAGAGGTCATGTTAGTTCTCGAAATGAACTGAACGAAAGTTACTGTGGAACCAAACACTGTCTAATCCTTGACGTCCATAGCAAGTTCGCTTGAAGCAGGTCTCCGTGTACCAAGAAACCGTAACGAATTTCCGTCCCCACTGCAAGTGGTCGCCACTGAGCTATTTTTCCCTTTTATTGTTGCGTTCCCCGCAAAAGTCCGGTTAGTGCGAAAAACCTATCGTCACACTAACTTTTTTTTCTATTTAATTAAACGTGGTTTAACTAAACATGTTTAGTCGATCTGAGTTGGGTATAAGTTACCTTCACTTTATTCTAAACTAGCAAAGACTGACTATGTCTAATGTTTGTGGTGAGGGAGGGCAGGTGCATGTCACAGCCTTAAGCTATACCTGAGGGTATTGCTGTCGACAAACGTTTCATCAACGTAAAATTTTTATCTTCACTCGTTCAACTGACAATTATTGGATCTAAAGATTTACTTGACTTGATCTAGCGAAGATTCACTATTAGGAATAATGATTCAGATTACATTTAGGTTCAGTTTAAATTCTTTTTTCTCCATAATAATTTTCACATAGTGCTCTGCAACAAGGATGCACTTCACACTTACTTTTTTAAAACTTTTGGTGTATATATTGCACAAAGGTTTTGCTTTTATTTAACAAATAGAGAAGCCTTGACTGTGCTCTGTTCTGTTATAAAGCACGCAGGAGGCGGCTAGAGCACTACAGAATTCTTGGGTGCTCTAGCTGCTTCCTAAGTGCTTTATAACAGAACAGAACACAGTCAAGGCTTCTCTATTTGTTTTATGATAAGGAATCCATTCAATTCTCCAAGCATTACTTTCAATTTTCAAAGCGACCAACAGTGTCGTCAGCATGCTCTATACTCTCATAAAGCACGCTACAATAAGCCAATCAGAATCCTTGTTAAAATGGTTCAAATAATCTGATTGGCTGTACAAGACTAAAGCTGTCAAAAGTGTCAAACCATCAAAAGTTCAAAAACCATCAAAGTTCACATTCTGCGATGGTTTACAAACTGAAATAGTCCGGCAGGTCGAATTTAACACTTTTGCCTGAAGTTTTTATGTCTCTAATACAGAATCTTGAAGTGAAATGTGCAGTGAAATTCAGCTGAATTATGGCTCATAAAAACACGCGAGTTTCTTCACATTACAAGGTAGAAAACAAACTGTTCCTTTGTGTTTCTGAATGAACGACAGACGAATTCACCGGAACATGAAGATCGCTCGGGATGACAGCGCCGCAAAACTCGGCTGCAGTGACCGATGTAGTTTCTGAGGTTTGCTTTACCTTGATGACCGGAGATCGCCATGATGAGCGAGCCGCGATGGACTTCAGCATGATCATATTCGCTCAGACACCGTCATGATTAATATGAATTTTAACAGTTATGCCAAATTGGTAATATTTTTCATCATTTCTGTTTTGTTCTGTTTTGTTTTTAAACAATGAACTTTATATACTATACAAGCGTTAGCTGTGTCTGATTTTTTATTACCGTACGTAAGCTTGCAATCTAACTGAGCGTGTAAATCTTTAAAACTCGGAATGCCTATTTTGTTTTTCCTTTGAGGATTTTCGTATCTGCTCACGTTTTGATAACGTAAATCATGGCGCCTGGTATGTTTACAAACGTTTGTTTGGTTCTTCTGTTGCTACTTGCCGGCTCGCTTGTTCCGAAATTTCACTTTCCATTATCGGAAAAAAAGCTAAAAAGAAGTCCCGGAAAGGTCGAACATAGTAAAATTTGGCAGATGGCGTGACAGCTTTAGTTCAGCTCTATGCTCTATACTCTCGTACTGCACGCTCTTTCAGCCGATGACAGCGCGCGTTATATCCGAACTTTATTATAAATGCTCATTATTTCCTTGAATCACCATTGAGAATAGGTGTCGATATA